GATTGGGGGCCACACTTACCAACTTCTTGGGCAGGCACGTCCTCCATCTTGTGTGTTTGTGTTTAAATAAATATGTGCAGGTGCGCGCTTTGTTTTGTACAGCTGACTGTTGTGCGCGTGGTGTGTCAGGTTCTCGTGCAGGCTACTACGAAAAAGATGCAGAGAGAGAGGAGAGGTACGTGTTCGTCAGGCTCACAAGGGGACCTGGTGAGCGGTGTGGCGTGGGTGAGACTGCCGCCACCGGAGCAACCACTTTCAGCTGCCAATCAGCGTCTCGGGGTCGAGCCAAAATGAAAAAGGAAAATGGGCGGCCAAAGGAGAAATCATAAATAAAAAATAAAAAAAAAGCCTCTGTGGTATTTGGTGGTATTAACAAGACGTCGATGAAGATGATGAAGAGAGCGGGTGGTGGTGGTGAGTTGGCGGAGGCTTGTGTGTGCAGTGGACACTGTGGGAGGTGTCTTGCCAAAACTTGGGGGAACGTCGTGGGGCCTGAAGGGTTCTACTGATTGGATTCATTGGCGGCTTCAAGGGCGAGAGCAGCCTGCAGCTTGACCCTCTCCAGCCCGATCGACATGCGCTGCCCTCGACTGTCGGCCACGTGAGCGCAGAACATAACAGAACATAACATATATACATTAACATATATACAATAACATATATATATATATATACGCGCAGAGCGTGAGAAGAGGCTCGAACTCGTGCGAGTGTGGGGGCGACGTACTTGCTGACCCGGCTGAGGGCTGGGGAGGCTGGGCGGTTGGGCGAAGAGAGCGAGGAGGACGTGGGAGTGGCGGCCGGGCTGCTGGCGGCGGCGGCGGCGGCGTTGAAGAGGAGAGGAGCGGGGCTGGTGCGGCCAGGGGTTATGCTGCTCCGCCTCCAAAGCACCGAGCTGGCGGTGGCGGTGGCGGGCTGGGGCGTGCTCGGTGGCGTCACCTCCTTCGACTGCTTCGTTTCCTTCTCTTTTTCTTTCTCCTTCTCCTTCTCCTCCTTCTCCATCTCCTTCTCCTCCTTCTTCTCCTCCTTCTCCTCCTTCTCCTCCTGTTCCTTTTCGCTCTTGTGCTCCGCCTCGGCTCCCTCCCGCTGCTGCTGGTGCTGGTGCTGCTGTTCCTCGGCGAGCGGGTGGTGAGCCTGTGCCGGCTCCTCGTTTTGCACCGTGCTCGCCTTGTCCTTCTCAGGCACCGGGGCGGCTTCGGGGATGGAACACAAAGACCACGTGAGCACACAAACATACAATAAATAGTTGGCACTGCGTGAGATTCAAGTGTACCGCTGGAGGCCTGAACGGATGCGTGGTCGCCCGAGTGCGGTTTGGGGCCTTCGGAAGAGAGAGGCGGAGAGGGCATCTGGACAGGCTCAAAGTCCAGCCCCTCCCTCTCCTTGGTGTCGCCATGCCGCGGCGATTTGCCACTGTAGCTCCCGAGGAGTCGGGCAAAGTTGTTTCCACTGTGAGCTGTTGGTTCGACAGGGATGAAGGGCGCGGGTGCGTACGTTGGGCGCTTGTGGTCGTCCGATCGCCACGAGAGCAGGTTGCCGAGCTTGTCCCGCGTTCGCTCCTTCTTCTCCTTTTTCTCCTTCTTCTGTTTCTTCGTTGCGCTCGGTTTCTTCTTGTTGTTCTCGTCGTCCTCGTTTTCACTCTCCTCCTTGGCCTCCTCCCGGCCGCTGTTGCGCTTGTCCTCGCTGCTCTCGTCTCCCTCGGCGCCATGTACACTCTCCTCGTCTCCTGGATCGTATGCAAGAAGAGTAGTATGCATCAGTTCGTCGGCTCCGGGCGGTGGGTGAGAGTCAAATGAAGGGGGGGGGATATGAAGGTGGTGATACCTTCGCCTTCCTTGGTGTGAAGCCAGTTGTAACAGAAAGTGCACACCCGCACGGCCTTCTCCGTCTTCAGCTTGGAGAGACGCGCCTTTTTGGAGCTGCAGCTGCCACACACCACCTTACCGCAATTACTGCACATTGCGGTGAGCAGGATGTGGTCATTTACCGACACACACAACACACACACAACACACACACAACACACACACGACACACACACGACACACACCTCCAACATTCAGAAAGACTTACCGACAGTGGTGTCTGCGCCGGATGACAGTAAATGGAATTCCGCACATCTGGCAGTCGGTTGCCTTGTTGTCGGGAATCCACACGGGGGCGCTACACACATGCCACACAGAAAGAGGCCTCTGTGAACACAAAGTGGCCAGCCTACAGAGAAGGGGGAGGGGCCTACCCTTCGTCTTCGCCCGTGGCAGCGCCCTGGGTGGCAAGCTGCTGTTGCAGATCCACCATCCACGCCTCCTTCTCTTCTCGCGAGCGCCCATACACCGTGAACGACTTCTCCGAACTGTGTGCGAGCTCAACACAACGTTGTTGTCAGGCAAAGCGTTCGCGCACCCGGGCAGGAAGGGAGAGAGTAGGTGGTGCGTGCGTGCCTGATGATCTGGAAGGCGTATTTTTCGTCGCCAGAGTCGGGGATGTCGCGCACCTTGAAGGTGTCGCGGTTCTTCTCGCCCTGCCGCCCGCTTCCAAACTCGATCATGCGGTGGAACGTGTATCTGTTGCTGGTCTTGCCGGCCGTCTCCCTGGTGTACACCGAAGCCTGTACATGAACCGAGGGCGTCGCGATAGATTACTAAATTATTCTGGGGCTGCAAGGGGTCAGCGATGGCGGCGGGGGTGCGAACCTTTTCGGCTTTGTCGGCGCCCACAAGCGATCCGTAGACGAGCGCGTCGTTGAACAAGAAAAACCAACGCTTCTTGGGCACCTGACGGGGGGAATTCGCCGCCACAAGAACGAGCAGGCGCAGGAGATGGGCCGGGTGAGGGCCTGGTGGTGCATGCTGGCCGAGATGGGAGCAGACTGTCACTTACCTTGCGGCACATTTTGATCAGCGCGCCTTCTCGCACGAACACGCGCCCCTCCTTGACGAGGCACTTGACGTTGCCGATGAAAGAGGCCTGTATCTTGTACATCTTGAGGAAGTTCTCCTCCTTGTCCATTTGCGCGTTCACCTCGTTGGCAATGCGCGTTATCTGTGTTTTCACACCGAGGTAGTTCCGTGCGTAAAGTGAGTATTGCGCTCCAACACCATGGCTGATGGTGGTCGTGAACTCAGGCGCACCTCGGCAATAGCTAGAGTCAAGTTCTGGTAGTCAGGGTGGTCTTCTGGTGACCGCCTTCGCAGATCCTGCCATAATCACAGAGCCAGGTCAGTGCGCGAGCGCGTTTGGGTGGGCGGGGTGGGCGGGCGGCGCACTTCGAGGAGCATTTGGTAGCGAGGAATGCGTTGGACGGGTTGGATGAGGAGCCCCAGGAGGTCCAACCTTCGGGCTTCCATGTTGCCTTCCTTCTTGGCCTTGACCGCCTGTTGTGAAGAGGATGTGTGTGTCACAATGCATTGATTAACAGAGGCCGTCACGCATGCGCAGGCACACACTACGGGCGGCGGTTGGGTTGGAGGCGTGCCTCGCAAAAGTTGACGAACTGGGCCTTCTTGCCGAACTTGGACACCGTCAAGATGGAGGTCTTGTGGTGAGCCACGTATTCCATGTACATGTTCAGCTGGGGCGCCTGCACGAAACACGCGCGAACGGAGGAGGTGAGAAGGTGGGAGAGTCGGGCACCAAGGCACGCGTGCAATGCTTCTGAACAAAGAAGAAAGGGCGTGCACCGTTTCCAAGAAGATGGGAGCTATGCATTGCGTGGGAGACCAATTCCGCCCGATCGCGTCCTGGTGCAACAAACGAACGTGCGTCAGTCCAAAGATGCGCACAACAACAGGGGGGGGAGAGAGGCAGGGGGGAACCTCGAGTCTGGCGAGCAGTTTAAAGTTGATCTTGTGAAGCTCTTCCAGCTTGGAGAACATGCAGGGGATCTTCTTCAGCGGCACCACGTCGCCCTTCTTCTCCGCCAGCCGCTTCAGCGGCAGCAAGTACTCCTACGTACACATACACACATCACACATACGCACCAATCGTCAGGCAGGAAGACAAGTCGGAATGGCAGCTGCATGGCCGCCGCCATTGACCCAAGGTGGGGTGGGGGGGATGAGGGAACAGAGTAGCGTACGTCCATGACGAACTGAAGCACGGCCACATACTTGCGTTCGGAGGTGAGTATCTCGAGGGCTATCTTGTCGCGGCGCTCCACGAACCGGTCCTTGAACTCGACGGGCGCGTGTGGCGACGCTGGCGGCGTGACGTCGGTGCTGCCGGTCGACCCGCCCGACGAAGGCGATGGCACCAGCTGGGTGGCCGACAAGGACGACGACGTGGGCGCAGTGGGTGCCGACTCCTCGTGGTGGTCGTGGGGCTTAGGGATTTGAAGCTTGGCGGGGGATTTAGCCTTCTTCGCCGTACCTCCTCTCTCCTGATCTCCCTCGTCGTCGTCTTCTTCTCTTTCCAGGATGACAGGGTCGCTGGGTCCGGTGTGGAGCAGCGTTTGGGAAGCCACACGGCCGGTTGCGCGAGGAGAGGTGGCCTCTCGCATTTCAGCCGGCGTTTCGTCGATCTGGGGATTACTGGACGATGCCAGGATCGGTATGTGGGGATTGCTTGCCGCGGGTTCTTCCTCCTTGGGGGGCGGCACGACGGCTCCCCTCTCCTCCATTTTTCGAAATTATTATCGAGCGCGCGTCAATCACTGAGTCTCTAGTCTGTTTCCGAATCGAGAGAGGCGCCAAGGGGATTGGTGGAAGAGGGTGGGTCACAACAGGATCAGGTCAAGCCGAGGCCCAGTCAGTTTACAGTTTGCTATTATTATTATTATTTGCAATAAACCAGCGCAACGTAATTTTACCCGCCTTTTTCACGTTCTGATTTATTATTTGGCGTTTTTCTATCGATCGGGCCTTCGAGGGCAGTGGACAGTTGGCATCGGAGCAGGGCCTCATCCACGCCACGCACAACTACAAATCATGGTTCGTGCGCCACTTGAAGCCTTGACAAGATTTTTCAACTCCCCCCCCCAAACATCTCCACTCAATCCCTCACGCCAAAACTGCTCAATTCTTCTAAATTCAGAGTCTGTACGCGGACGAGAACATTGATTTCGAGGAGGATGGAGGGCAGGCCGAGGAGGGAACAGCCGCCCGCCGCAGGAAGGTGACAAAGCCGACGAAGGAAGAAGATGAAAACGCGGGCGAGGACGAAGACGAAGAGGAGGACGAAGAGGAGGAGGTGGAAGAGGAGGAAGACGAAGAGGACGAGTACGCACTGGAAGACGAAGGCGGAAGCTCCAAGAAGGCTCGCAGCAGTCGAGCCAAGAAGGGTGCCGCCGCCAAGTCGAAAGCCAAGCCCAAAGCGTATGTGCTATGCACCCTTCTCTGTGCCGCCTCTTCTTGCCTTCTCTGTGCACCATCATTGCCGTCTCTTCCTCTCTCTGATACCACTGCGTGGTTGCATGCGACGACGGCGATGCCGGTGACGGCGGAGCAGTGCAGGCAAGGGCCGAGGTGCGCCGGCAGCAGCTACGGAGATCCCGCCAGAGCTCATGAGGCGCTCGTCGCGCCAGGTGACCAAGCCACTCCGATACGCAGAACAGGACAAAGGTGCCCTTTCCTCCTCCTCTCCTCCCTACGGCTGGTTACGTTGAAGCTAACTTAAAAGTTGATGTCTGCACAACAGAGGACGACAAAAAGAAGAAGGAGGAAAAGGAGAAGCCGCCCGCAAGCGGCAGCGCCAAGGCCAGCAGCGCGCAGCGGGGCACCAAGCGAACGCGAGCGGCCGCTGCCAGCGTGGCCGATGAGACCGTGCCCGACCCGCCTCAACGACGGGTACTCGGCTCTCTTCCTCTTCTTTTTTCGCATGCCAGGCTCCCGGTGTATAGTGCTGACCACGCCTCATCATCGATGGTGTAGGCCAAGAACGCGAAGAAGCCGGCACCGGCGGTGGCCAAGGAAGAGGAGGAAGTGGAGGAGGAGGAAGACTTGAACGTGACCTCCTCCGATCAGCCTCCGTCCATCGTGTCGTCTCCTGTTCCGGCGGATGCCGCCATGCGACCGAAGGCCAACGCGGAGGAAAGCGAAGAGCCCGAACCGGAGCCCCAGCCCGAACCCCAGCCGCCGCAGCCCAAGAAGCCGGTGGCGATCCCCGCCTCGTCGCCGGCTCGGTCTGGCACCGTACGCCGGGGCAGAGCGAACGTCAACCGCAAGGTACCCGAGAACTGTCTTCCGGAGCCCTCGAACCCTCTATACCGCCGGCTCACGCTCTTTCTCTGTGTGCGCGCAGCCCAATAAGCGACGCCGTAAGTTGCCGATGCCTCCGTGGGAACCCGGTACGACTTTGACTCATCATCATCGTCATCATCATCCTCCTCCTCCTCGCGAGAGTGACGCGTGCGCACTTCGAGTTTAACTCACAACAATCGCCTCTCCCGATGTTGAACGCACACAGCGGTCAATTCTAAGCTCGCGCAAACGTATCCGGACAAGTATCACAAGGATACGGGGGCCATTGAGTTCATCAACAAGAGACATCCCATCAAGCTCCACACCCAGCTCCAGCACCCTGGTACGCACTCACCCCAAAAACTCATCAATGCGTGCGGAATGCTAATAATATGAGCCAACGCCATGGCGCACCACAGGAAACATATTCGACATGGTGTGGTCCAGCGACGGTCTCATTCTGGCGACGTGCTCGAGCCTCGGTTCGATCCGTTTGTGGGACACCACCACGTGGAAGCTCATCCAGGAGCTGCGGGACGCCGAGGAGGAAAAGATAGAAGAGTTCTACACCATCCGCTTCTCGCCGGACAACACGAAGCTGTTCGCCGCCGGCAAGCTCAAGCACAGAGACCGCTGGTCGAACGAGGACGACGACAACCAAGTCGCGCCCGGGCCCATCAAGGTCCATGCCACGCCACACCACGCCACGCTATCTTTGTTCCTCCGAGCGTAGTTCTCGAGAAGCTGTGTTGGTGTAATGATCATTCATCGCTAATCTGGAGTTCTTCTTCATCTTCTTCTAAACAGCTGTTCGACGTGGTGTCGGGCAAGGTGCTGACGAAGCTCGAGGGCCACACGGAAGAGATTCTGTGCATCAAAGCGGTACCTACGCTGTGCAGCGTGTGCGCCATGTTCATTCCGGTAGTACCACTCACTCCTACTCGTTGTCTCCGATCAGATCTCGTTCAAGGAGAAGAACTATCTGCTGTCCGCCTCCCAGGACGGCTACATCATCAAATGGCACCTGGACGACACGTGGACGTACGTAGCCGCCTCCTTCTTCCTTGATGGGGTCTGGCCGGTGTGCCTCAACCAAAGGTCACTTGGGTGTCTTCAGGGTGCTGGAGGGTACCACACGCATCGACGAAGAAACGACCAACATGGCGCTCGGCCTCTCGTTCCTCCCCAATTGCGGCAACAAATACTTCATGAGCGCCGCCGACGGAGGAGTCAAGATCTACGATTTTGAGAAAGAAGTGGTACCGCTCCTCCCGGTCAGTCACGCTGGGCGCCTTATTAGCGATGATTGCCAACACACACTTATGTTCCTCTCTTGTGCACCAGCTGCTGCAACAATTCGAGGAGATCTACACCGGCTACTGCGATTGCATCAAGGTGCGCAGCCTTTCACCACCCACCCACCCACCCACCACCCACCGCCGGCACGTCCACCAGAGTCTCACCTCGCTGACGACGCCGTTTCTCTCTCTCTCTCTCTTTCTCTCTCTCTTTCTCTCTCTTCATCAGTTTATCAACGCGAAGGAGTACCACCGGGGCGAGTTCGAGCACTACCTCGTCACACGAGGTGTGGAGATGCTCTCCAATTCGGACCCCAACCAACGTGCGGCGCCTTCCATCTTCGCTCCAACGTTTGACCTCCTCCTGTGTTGTCGTGCTCTCTCGGCTCACCCTCAGCGGCCATGTGTGTGTGTGTGTGTGTTGTGTGCGTGCGCGCGCGCGCAGTGCTGAGGAGCAACGCGTGCCACCTGTGGAAGCTCACCGTGCCCGATAAGCCACTCAAGTCCGCGGAGAACGCCTTCCGTCTCGAGAGGGTCCGCACCTTTTCCAACCCGGGGTACGTTTCGCCCCATTCCTCCGTGTCGACTTCGCTCCCCTCCCCCCCGCCCCGCATGGCTCTTACCTCCTCTGCTCTCTTCCCATCGATGCAGCTTCTTTGCCAATTCGTGGCCAGCCCACATCACGTCCAACGGCCGCTATCTGGCGGCGCCGACTTCGCAAGGCGAAGTGTTCATTTGGAACCTGCGCACGGGCGACCTGGTTTCCGTGCTGACCGACCACGAGGGTACCCCCCTCCCCTCCTCCTTCCTCTCCACCAATCCCTCTTTCCCTCCTCAGCGGCTCGTTGTCGTGAGTGGTCATTCCTCACCTCTGCAATGCAGATCGGGAGACCCGCGATATCCTTTTCCACGCGACCCGGCCCATCATGCTCACCTGCTGCGATGGTACGGTCCCCGCTTCTCTCCGTCCTCCTTTTTATGATCACACACACACACACACACACACGGTGTAGTTGTATCACATAGCTCACCTGACCTGGCGTGGGTCGTGCGTGCGATAAAATAGATTCCACGATCAAGGTGTATATGCAGGACGACAGCGACGAGAGGGCGATCATCGAGACGGTGGACCTGGACGGGGAGATCGACGTCGAGGGCGAGCTGGCCGATGGCGAGGGCGAACCGCTCTCGCTCGTCACCGGCGTCCCCGAGGACGACATGGAGGTCGAGGACGAGGCCGGCGACGAGGTGATCGAGCAGCGGAGCAACGGCCGCAGCAACGGCACCGGCCAGCGGCGCGGGGGCAGGGGCTACAAGCGCGGGTCGCCCACGATAGTGAAGAAGCGGATGCGGATAGAGGAGGAGCTGGAGGCCGAGTTCGGCGACGAGGCGTGGCCGGTCGGGGAGGAGGCCGATGCCGAGGTGGAGGAGGCCGACAAGGAGTGGCTCAAGATCGAGAAGGAGTGGCAGAAGATCGAGGACCACTACCAGAAGATCGAGCGCGAGTGGTCGGAGATCAAGAAGGAGCGGAAGCGGATGGAGCGGGACCGCACGACGCTCCGCAAGCTCAAGGAGGAGGCCGGCGTCCCTCTCACGGCGGCCGACTACCCTCCGCCTGCCGCGTCGACCACCACCACCACGACCACCTCCGCGACTGCTCAGCCTGCCGCGGCCGAACAAGCTGCGGCGGATGCTGCGGGCTCGGTGGCGGCGACGGCAGTGGCCTCGGCGACGGTGGGAACTCCTTCCGAGGGTGAGACTACTACTGCTGCTACCCAGGCGGACAACGCACACGCCAACGGCGCGACCGCGGCAGAGAATGCACCGCAACCCATGGAAACGGAGACGTCTGACGTCTGACATGTGTCCACCAACATAAAGAGTCCACACTGCTCTCTATCGTTCGCTCTCGCCGCGAGTTACGCTGCTGAAGCAGGAAGCAGATCTCGTTTGTTGGTGGTGAGGGGGATGGGAAAATAATATTGTGGCCTGTGCGCGTTCAAGCAGTACCACAAGATGGGTTGGGGGTGATGGCCAGGAGTCGGCCAAGTACGTAGGCCTGGAGCTGCTCCATGTTGGCAAGGTCCTCCTTGCTGAAGGCCCGCAGGGCTTGGTTCCACTCCTGGGTGTCCTCCGATAGCTCCATGTTGGTGCGGGGATCATACCTGAGACGTGCCATCACGCGTTAGGCCTCCAAAACTTCGGAAGAGGATTGATCGACAAATTGACAACAACGCACCCTCGGCTCAGGGTCTTGAGTCGCTTCAACAAGGCGATGGTCTCGTTCACCTTGTCGATCAGCTCTTCGTTCACTTGCTGCATCAGCAGGTAGTCCACCTGGGCCGGATCCCTGGGTACGCAGAAGGCAGATGTTAGGTGTCCGGCCTGCCTGGAGCAGAGAGCGGGTGTGCGTGTGGCATCGAAGGAAAGGTGTGGGTACTGGCCAAAGTAGGAGCAGGCCACGTCGAGGCGGACTTTAGCCTGCACGCAGCCCCGGCCGGTGCCGCAGACCTCGTAGTGGAAGTGATCGTCGCCCGAGGCCGCCTCCCTCGCCGTGTAGAGCACGCAGCCGGTATTGGCGCCCTGCTCGTCCTGTTCCAGCTCCAGAAGCGCTCCCTTGGCCGACTCGCGCTCAACGCTGAGCGATCTGCGGTCGACGTGTCTGTCGTTGTTCAGGGGGCAGATCCGGTGGGCCTTGGGGTTGTAGGGCAGCTGATAGAAGTCGTTGTGGGCCTGCGCGGCGTAGTTCTCCACCTGCGCCAGCACGTGGGCGCGGCCGCAGATGGTGCGAGTGTGGTCCGTGCACACCTGGTACTCGAAGCGGTCCGGTCCGAAGAAGCCCATGGGCGTGCTGTATCGAAGCTACGACACGAACTCGTCAGTGAGTGAGTGTGACTGTCTGGCCAAGCCATGTAGGAAAAGTCGGCACGTACCACAAAGTAGGTGCCCTTCTGCACCACGTCCACTGTGGCGCCCGGTGCGGAGGGCAGGCTCACGAGCAGGAGGGTGGAGGGCTTGGTCAGCACGTGATCGTTGGCGAGCACCTGCATGGGCAACGGGGTGAGAATGAGAATGATATCAACACATGCCCCTCGATGGGGGGGGGGCTAAGGGGGTGGGGCCGTACCACCACATCGGTCGTGGAGCCCTCCTTGACCCGGATGCTGTCGTCCTTGGCCCACAGTTGGACGATGACGGTCACCTTCACTGGCTCGGAGCAGACCCTGCGCTTGTCGATGACCACCTGCGAGTGCTGCTGCACCACGCGCTCCACGTCCTCCTTGTGGTTATCCCAGAGCCACTGGGCCAGCACCGCGCTGGCGAGGTCGCCGGCCTCGAGGTAACTGAGGTCCTCCACGAAGATACGGGACACGGTGGCCTCGATGTCGGCCTCCATCTCGCCGTAGACGTCCTTGCCGCCGTCGCTCACCTCGACAATCACAATGTCCCACTCACCGATCGTGTCGCTGATCTGGGCCTTGTTGCTTGCGGTCGCCTTTCGCATGGCGGAGAACTCGTGGTTGGCCAGCCACGTCGCAAACACCTCCACGCTAGACATGCGCACAACTCGATCGTCAGCTGCGCGGAGCACACCATCACAGTGTTGACGTCACGGTCTGGCGTACCTCTTGAGGTGAAGGAGCTGCTCCTGGAGGGTGGCATGTTGAGTGCGCATCTCCTGGTGCATGGCGTCGAGGGCGTCGGACGCGCTGAACCAGGAGCTGACCTGCTCCATGCTGGTGGGGAGGTCTTCCTTCTGGACCAGAGGGGCGGCAGCAGTCTTGGCCTCGCGCTCGCGCTGCTCCTCCGTGTAGTGCTCGAAGATGACGTTGACCTGCAGGAAGGCCGACTGGGCGGTCTGCTGCGTCTTGAGCAGGCTGCTGCTGTCGACGAGCTCCTGGGAGCACACGGTGTAGTAGAACGAATCCTCGCCGGCAAAGTTGCGCTGAGGCAGGTACGTCACCTCGCCCGTCTCGATGGAGACGATGGTGCCGTGCTTGGGCTCGGCCGAGATCTTCAGCGTGCGGTCGTCGATGTGGGCCTGGCTGCCATCGTTCTTCAGGAGGTCCAACACGCTGGCCACCCGCGACGAAACCTCGAACTCATCGGGCCTGGTGAGCAGAGTTACGGTGATGTTGGCCACGGCGCGACCGCAGTTGTCCCTCGACTCGTCCTGACACACCTCGTACTCGAGCGAGTCATAGCCTAGCGGGACCGCCGCCACCAGCACAGGCGCCAGGAGTTAGTGCAGGTTGACTTCCATGGGGCAGAGTAGAAGCATACCAAAGAACCCCTGGTTGGGTGTGTAAATGGCACGAACTCCTGAGCCGATGTCGATGGCTCCGTTGAGAGGGGAAGAGACAATGAGGAGGGTATCGGGGTCGGCCAAGATATCATCGTTCTCGAGAAGCATGAGTTCCACCTGTTGCGCACAGTCAGCCACAACTGGTTTAGCTTTCACTGACCTCGCCACCGCTCGCTAACCGCATGTGTACCTGTTGGCCCTCCACCGTAGACACCTGGTCATCCGCGGTGTCGATGCGGACAGCCACAGTGACCTGCATCTGCGAGCACGCCCTGTTGCCGTCTCTCGTGCGGCAGAGCTGAGCATTGGGAGATGAGGTCAACCACCACCGCGACCGTGACAAAGAAAGAGAGTTGTGAAGGCAGGGCAGTACCTCGCAGAGGAAGGTGTCCTTGCCGGTGAAAGATGCAGAGGGGGTGTAGATCAGGAGAGCGGCGTTTGGATCTATAATGGCGGCGGACCCGTGAAAAGGGCCGTTACTTTTCCGATCCAGCACATTCACGCTCACGAACTCGTCGTCATCTGTGTCGTAGGCCAGCCGAACCTCCACGCTCTTACCCTTCTCCGTAAAGTAGACCTTGTGCTGGGGGTTGGTGGGGAGAGATTGGGGGGATGACCATCATCAGATTCGGGGCATAAAGGGGAGGCAAGAAGCTACCTTGTGGTTTGAGATGTGTGATTTGGAGGGCAAAGAGAAATCGAACTGATCTTCACTCAGTGCTGATGAGGCGATGGAGATGTAGATAAAGGATGAGAGCAGGAGGAGGGAGAAGAGGAAGAGGGTAGATCGGCGTAAGCCGCCGTTTGCATCCATGTTGGGGGTGTGAGTAAGCGCTCGAGATGAGCACGCGCGTAGCTGCGACCCCCAACTTTCAATCAAATCAAATCAATTCCCCAAGCCCCCTTGGCGGCAATCCTTCTCACGTTTCCTTCCCTTTCCAAGAGTCAACCGCCAATCGCTAGCTGCGGGCTTTTATGGTAGGTGGAAATACGATTTTTCCTTCATTTTCTATTTGAAGAGGAAAGAAAATCAATTATAATTGGAAAAAGGGAAACGAGGGTACCTCTGTCCAGAGGGTGTCTCTGCGACTGTAGACAAGAGGCCGCATATCGAGGGTAGAGCTTGCTTGGTGCCAAGTGAGCAGGTCATACAATTCTCGTTCAGAGATGAGCTTGATGCAACGATTCTCGCTGTCGGGGCTGTCGCCACGAGGCCTCTATCAGCGTGGGCAGCAGGCTAAGCCACCGGCGCAACCACAGCGCTCCCCCCGTGAGGAGGAGCTGCCACAATCAGGTCCGTCTTTCTTTTCCCGCCATCCGTGTCCAGTATCTTGCGTTGGAAAGAATTGGAAGAGGAGGGCGGGGTGCTGAATTAGTAGATGAAGCACGACATCTGTTGGAGGAGCTTCTGAGCGACGAAGCCGCCTACGGTCAGCAGTTGCACACCCTCTGCCACGTACGCACGCAGCCCACAACCATTGTGGCGTACGCTCGACACACTCAACTTCTTTGCGTGTACACATGCAGAGCTTCTATCACCCGTACTTGGCCAACGCAAAGCTGGCAGAGAAGCCAGGCCGGGCCGAAGCTGAGATCATGTTCCACCGCGTGGATGAGGTGCCGTTAGTGTCCTGGGCGTGCGTGCTGTGCAATGCTCGTGTCCACCTTGCTGACCACTGCCTGTGCAGCTTCTCGCATTCCACGAGCCACTCTTGGCGTCGCTGCAAGCCGCCAACTCCTCTTGGCCCCAGGAGTGCCTCTCTTCAATATTTCTTCGCATGGTGCGTGGCTGTCTCCCTCAGAGCTGGGCTTCATTCTCTTGAATGGTTTCCGTCTCACCCTGATCCACTCAGGTGCCCCGGATGGACGTGTTCACGGAGGTGATTAGGCAACACAGCGCCTCACTTCACGCCATCAAAACAGCCAAGAAAGTAAAGACGTTCGCGCTCTTCCTCAAGGTGGTCTCCCTTCCCAAGGACCTTGGTCCTTGGCTTCGCATCATACTGATGTCCTCGCCCTCTGCAGGAAACTGAGGCAAAGCACGGCGACGTGACCGAGCTCATCAAGCTGTCCCATCAGCGCATACCCATATATTCTCAATTTCTCTCGGTACGTGTGTCGCATGATTCTACGCTCTTGCGGGAGTAAGCTCACCATGAGGACATCATGCTGCGATCGCGTGCGTCAAGGCCCTTTCAACGTTGGGGAAGCCCAATGAATGGGATCTCGAGGAGGCTGTGGTTCAGCTCAATCGCCTCCAGTATACGCTGGAGACCAGCAAGCGATTCTCTCGTGACCAAGGCAAGATCCTGGAACTCGAAGCCAAGCTTGAGGTTCCCGATTCGTTCGTACACGTTCCCTCTCTTATCCGCCTTGCTCAATGCCATCTTACTCGGCTGGTACTTACGACTAGCGATTTTGAACTTGGCGTACCGCACCAGAATCAAGGGCTCGATCGTTTTTCTCTGGGCGAGACGGGGCGTACGCTGATCCGCGAGGGAGTGTTGGCAGTCACCGTGCAGCGTGGACTCACCGCGGGGTGGCCTGGTATGAACCAGCACCAATTTTTCCTCTTCAACGACATTCTTCTCTGTACTCTCAAGACCACTCGCGCCTTCAAGGTTCCATCCTTTCCTCGGCCAGCCAGGCCCCATATGCCATTACGCCTTCATCCCTAACATGTCGGCCCATTTCCTGTTCACTCCAGGAGGTGCTCAAGGTGCAGTACATCATTCAACTCCACACGATTCACAAGGTCACCACAATACCAGACATTCAAGGTAGCTTTCAGGTCTCTTCAATGCGCGTTGCATTGTGAGCTTATGCGAACGCACGACCATCCGCACAGACGGAAAAAACGGGTTTCAGATTAGCGCCACGACGGGAGAGTGGACGCTGTACGCCACCACCCCAGCAGAGCGCAAGGGTTGGATGGACAACCTCAACTACTACGTGCAACAGTGTAAGAAGTACAAAAGTACGCGATCCTTGGCACTTCGCCCTTTGCAGGCAAGCTCTAGGAGCTTGCGGCAGCTGACATGCACGATTTTCCATGGTTCCAGCTTACGGATTGGCGATCGAGGAGCTGATGGAGCGCGAACGAAGCGAGTGTCGACCAGTCCCCGTTATACTGGAGCAGTTCCTGCATGCCTTGCGAGCAGACCCTGCGGTACCGAATATATCGTTCTTCTCTTCACAAACCGCTCCTTCGTTCTGCATCCCCTGCTCACTAGCTCTTCCTTACGATAGATCGTGCGCACCGAAGGACTCTTTCGGTTGGCCGGCAGTGCCCTCGCGATCAAGCAGCTGACGCACAAGATCGACATAGGTACGACCTCACTACCTCACACCCTCTTGCCGGTTGGGTGACGGCGTTTTAATGGGATATTCGCGCGCACTAGGCGAGGCGCTGGACTTTAGCAGCATCGAGACCCACGCGCTGGCTGGTCTTCTGAAGTTGTGGCTCCGGTAACCGCCACTGATCAGCCATTCTTGTAGCTGGGACCACACGTGGCTGACCAAGGAAGCGTTTCGTTGTGACCACCTGCAGGTCATTGCCGGAGCCTCTTCTCACGCACGAGCTATACCAATCGTTCATCGACGCTGTTGGTGCGTCTCCACCCAGTGCGTGAAGGTATCGCCACTTGATTACGCACGCTAACTGCTAGGGGCTCGTTCAGACGGGAGGAACGAGGTCGCGGCACTGAAGGATGTGGTGGCGCAGCTCCCCATCTACAACAAGTACACCCTTCGGCATCTCATCGCTTTCCTCGTGGAGGTTACTTCCCATTCCGATGTCAACAAGATGGTACGTACCATGCCCCTTCACCTCTCGATCAGAGATGCCACTCTTTCAGTCGCTCACTCTTGCGAGTGTGTATACACCTCCAGGTGAGCAGCAACATGGCCATCGTCTTCGGTACATGATACCCACCTACCTCAGCAAGCACCTCTCGGACTGAGCTAACCCCTCAAGTGTGTCCAACCATAGGACCCAATCTGCTGGTGAAGCGCGGAGCATCGATATACGACTGTTCGGACGTGCACCTGCAGCAGGCCGTGGTGAAAGCCCTGATCGACAGCTACGACCAGATATTCGAAGGGATCGAGGAAGAGGAGGCGCAGTTCGTGGCGCAGATGCGGATAGTAAACGAGGAGAAGCAGCGGCTCCTCGACCAGGAGCGCCGTGAGAGCATGGCCCTGCGTCCCAGCCTCAGCCTGCGCATTCCCCGCGAATCCCGCACGGACGACCTCCGCCCCGGGTATCGACCCGAGTGGGAGGCCAGCGTCGATGACCGGGGGAGGAGTGTGTCCGACCCCGTCGTGCTTGAGCGCGAGCAGCAGAGACACCGACGCGAGCGCGAAGAGAAGGCGGAGGCCGAGCGATTGGCGTACCTGCAGCACAGTCGAACCGCGGGCCAGCACCAACAGGCCGCCGTTGGCCCCCGCACGATACAAAATGGGCCACCCGATCACTGCGTCGTGCAGGGATGGCCTCAGCACCACCAGCAAGAGTACCAGCAGCACCGCCGGCCGCACGAGGTCACTGCCACCTCCTCCGGGTTCAACAGTGCCAAGGGCGAACACGAGCGAGGAGCAGACACAGCGGCGCGGGGCTACGGGGAGGACTGCGGTGCGAGAGAAGAAGAGGAGAAGGAGAAGCGCAAGAAGAAGATCCGCCTCAAGAACCGGTTGGCCGAGGTTGACGAGGCCGCGCGCAAGGGCAAGGAGGAACGGCGGCGGCGAAGCGACAAGAACGGCGACAAGCGGCACGAAGAAGCGGAAGAGTGGGAACAGGAGGCGCCCATTCCGGAGAAGAAGGAGAAAAAGAAGCGATCAGCCACCAAGAAGAAAGGTAGCAGTAGCGACAACAGCAGCTACCCAACAGGTTCGTAACGAAGAAGTGCCTGGTGAGTGAACTTTTGAAAATTAATTGCAAAACACGTTTCGTTTGCACAAAACATTGGAATTGATTGTCTTTTTTGTAAATTTCAATCTGAAAGAAAACGGGATGGGAGAGAGGACACGGGTGCGGGGGGAGCTACAGCTTCGGGCGCAGCTGGCGGCGGACTGCTGTTTGGTGGGCGACCGAGTGGAGTGCGCCATCTCCCTAATCCACCTGCCCGCGGCCGCCACCACCACACAGACCGCGCAACGGCCAGTGACCCTCTCCTGGGCGTCTGCCGAACTGCACGGCCAACTCACCTTCGACCCCGCTTCCCTCACGTACCAGTCTCGGCTCTTTATCAGTGCCTGATTTCTATTTTATTAATTTTATTTATATTGCCGTTATTCATCTGTTTCACAAGCCTGCCATGTGTGGCCAAGCGAGCGGTCAGCAAGGCAGCCCTGCAGATGTCCCCCTCCAAACCCACTTCCCTCCAGCGTACGGTGCCGACCGATCCGGGTACCCGCCTGCTTGCTCCACCCACACACCGGTGGCTGCTGATGCTGGACAGCGAATGCATTGGGGGGGGGGTGCAGGCGGCAACACGCGGTTGCTCTTTACGAGCGGGCCCCACATATTCGCGTGCGACGTGACCCTGGCGCCCGACCAGTCCCGGACGTGTACGTATGACCTCTGAGCCGTGTGGCGGCAGATGGGGTCGAGAGGGCTCACGGTGGGTGTGGCTGCAGTCGTGTACCGGGCCTTTCTGCCGACCGACATTCCGTCGTCGTTCTCGGGTAAGTACATCAAGGTGGCCTACTGGCTCACCGTGTGCGGGCAGCAGCCGCTGCACGAGACCGTCTCCCTCCGTGTCCCGCTCCGGGTCGTCAATCCCTTGGGTACGTACCATTCTCTTCTCCGGCCGGCCGGCCGTCATTGTCGTCACCACACTTCTTCACACTTACGTATGTGTGTCGTGTGTCGTGTGTATGTGGCGTGTGGGTCGCGCGCAGTCTTCAAGCGTCTCGGGCTCATGGAGTGGCGTTCGGAGGACCGGGCGGGGGTGGAGGCCGAATCGCAGGAGGTGGAGCCTGTCGACCTCTCCCGCGCCTTCCATTTTGTACATAATCACACCCTACCCGGTAAACCCCCTCTCCCCGCACGCTCCGCTCAATCATCGAATCGCTGATCGCCGCAGCCGCAGAGCGAGGTGACAGCAGTTTTGAGAACGAGCCCCGACGGACGACTGAGCCAAGGTGTGTAAAGACTATCCTTTCTCTGAGCCCACACTGATTGCCGGTTGATCGACTGACGTTCGCGCGTGTGCGTCAGTGCTACTGGTGCGAGGGAGCACAGCGCGTTCTATGAGACCTCTCCCGGAGTGCAGCGAAGAACCAAGATGACGGAGGAGCGCGCCATGCGGCTGCAGAGTCGCAAGGCCGGGCAGCAATTGCTCAAGCTGGGCGTGCAGGCCGTCAGCGCCCACGTTGCCCATTCCATCGTGCCCGGTATGCCCCTGGTCTGGCGGCTTTTACCTAAAGGGTCGCCAGATGTGGGCATAATGAACTCATTCCGCGCCTCGGCCAGAATCATTCACGATCGCCAAGGGCGAACAGTTGGTGGGCAAAGTCAATCTGGCCAAGCGCACCTTCCAGCTGGGCGAGGCCATCAAGCTGGCGCTCGATTTTGAGTCCGCGCGCATTCCGTGCTACCAGGTACGTACTTCACTGTTCCCCCCCGGAGGGCTCGCTAATGCGTTGGTTTGCTGTCTTCTCTGGCGAATTTAGTACACTGTGAGCCTGCAGTCAGTGGAGCAGATCGAGGAGGCTGCGCGCAAGGACTCTGGCAGTGAGCTGGGGCAGCCCGTGCGCCGCACGCACGTGCAGCACAGCGAGTGCACCATGGGCGCGGCCGCCACCGCCCAGTGCGTTCTCTCCATCCCGCCGCAGGAAACCGCCGAGTTCCAGACCGACGTCGTCTCCCACTCGTGGTACCTGCACTTCGACTTCGTCACCGGTACGCTCTCCCCGGCTCATTCGTTGGCCGTCGACTGTGTGCACAAAGCGCTAACGCAACGCGTGTTGTATTCTACGCCCGTCTCTGGCATGAATCCACAGGATTCGAGACAAAGGAGAGGGCGAAGGGCGAGGGAGAGGCGGGCGCACCACGGTCGTCGACCGGTCCGACGCGAAGGGTGCACGACCTGCGTTTCTTCGGTGCCGCGGGCGAGCTGCAGGTGGACACCCTGCGGTGGGACATCCCCATCCACGTGGTCGCCGTGGGACCCGTGGCCCGAGCCTCTCTCCACCCGCCCATCCACCGACTAAAGTTTGCCGCTTCCTGAGGGGGGAGGCCCTTGCAATGGCCTCACAATCACCACAGCTTCATCATCGGCGATGGTGGCGGAGAAAGTAGAAGACACCGCCGCCCGGCTTAGTCGAGTTCGACGAAGCCGAGGGCGAGGGTCTGGCCGTTGCGCCACTTGGTGTGGCCGCAGAGCAGCTCGTGGTTGTCGCGGTCGCCCCGTCGGCAGAACTTGCGCTTGCAGTCCCGGCAGCTGTAGTCCTTGGGTCCCGTCGCGGCCTCGCCCTCGGGTGTCGTGTCGGCCGATGCCGAGGCGCCGGGCGTACGCTGCGGCGTGGTGGCTTCGGGCTTGGCCTTGGGCCGCAGCGAGGGCGTCGGGATGCGGCTCTCCTGCAGCTTCTCTCCTCTCCTCCCGCGCGTCACAGTGGTCGCAGTGGACGACGGCGCGGCCTCGACCTTTCTTCGCTTGGCTTCCGCGATCTTGGATTCGTTGGGGAAGGGGCTCAGCGAGAGCTGCTGCTGCGGGAACAGCTCCTTCCGCCTCCGCTCTCGTTTGGAGACCAGCGGCTGCGATTCCGAACCCTCCTCGCCCCCGACCGGTGGTGGCTTCCGTTCCGCCGAGCAGTACGGCGACGATGGCACCGGCGCCAGCGCCACCTTTCGAACGCCGTTCGTCACACTGGGCGCCGACTCGTACTTCCTGCGTGGCCACCCAGCCATGAACCGTGTGAGGGGCCTGGCCGCCAAGCAACGCGGCCGAGCACAGAGAGAGGTGGTGGGAAAGTGAAGTGCAACCTTTTGAGGGGCAGGGTCGGCGGGCGGCTGGTCTCCCCGCGCACCTGGAGGGCCGCTCGACCGCTGGAGGTGGGGAGGCATCGGTCTTCGTCTTCGTCGCGGGTTCGGTGGTGGTCGGCCACGATGGCCAGGCCCGCGTGCAGGTCAAACGGCGGCAACGCCCCTTCGGACAGCCACGTCTCGCCTTCCTCCTGCTCTTCCGATCCGCCCGCCACCTCCTTCTCCGTCTGGCCGGTTCGATTGCGCTGCCGCACCAACAGCCGGGACAGCGCCTGCGCGGGAGCGGTGAGCCGGCCGCAAAAAGAGCGAAGGGGGGGGACGAGGTAAGGTCAAAACTACCTGGTTCTTTTGGCGTTCATTGCGCCACATGGCGAGCGCAGTGTCCTTTTCGTGTGCGAGCAGGGCTACTTGCGCACGCAGCTGCTTATTCTCCGCCACGAGGAGTTCAACCTCTAGTTTTTGGCAGGAGTGGTCGTCATCCTCATTCTCCTCTATCTTTTTGGAAGGCGCAGCCAAACTTCCTCTCTCCCATTTCGTCAGTTTCTTTATCAGCTCCACCTCATCAATCGTCTCCATCTCTCTCGTCTCCATCGTGGTGTTTGGTTTTGCTCTTGTTACGCACGCAAAAGAATTCGAAGAAACAGAAGATTGGGTATTTCCTTACTATTTCTTATTTCTCAACAGATTTCTTTTTGACAAAGAAATCTGTTGAGAAATAAGTCCTTCCGGCACGAGCTCTCGGGGAAAGCTTTGTGATCCGGTAGCCACACAACAGGTGCGAACTGGCGCATGGGCTCTACGGTCTCTTAACTGCAAGGCGATCACAGTGTCCCGGTCGTCCTGTTGGGGCGGGGTGTCAGAGCTCTGGTGGAGCTGCTACCATGAACTCGATCGTAGCATAAATACCCCAAAAGGCTTCTCTTTTTGTATCTTTATCAACCGCTGTACACCACCAACATGAAGGCCATCCTCGCCCTCTTCGCCCTCTTCTTCGTCATCAACGCCGCGCAGGCCACCCTGTTCTTCTGCCAGGACAGCCAGTACGACCCCGCGCAGCCGTCCTTCTCCAACATCCTCAAGTTCTACGCCGAGCGCGCGACCTTCAAGGACTTCAAGGACTACTTCGTGCAGATCACCAAGAACGTCGACCTGGGCGACCCCGCCGTCGAAGCCACCGTCATCAACCAGCTCAACGCCAGGCTCACCCAGAAGGGCTTCGACAACACCAAGCTGAGCTTCACCATCACCCGCTCCAACGGCGACATCACCATGGACACCCAGCTCGGCGTCAACCCCGTCATCGACAACCACGGCGGCCGCTACTCGCTCGGCAAGCCCATGCTCTGCCGCGACTTCGAGACCCTCGTGTTCGACTACACCTACGTCACCCGCACCGGCCTCCAGTACCGCTTCTGGTCTCAGGCCGTCCAGACCTCCGTGCAGAAGCAGTTCTTCTCCTTCCGC